TATTGAAGAAATAATAACTCATGAAGAACTAAATGAGGATGAGTTAGTTAACAGGAATTCATGAAACAAACATGATGAAGACATTGATTCTGATGAAGAGCAATTTGAACCAGTTGTGTTCACAACAACAGCCGTCACCATAGGACTTGAATTCCGAAGAAAATTAGGTAATCATTTTTTACAATACAACACGAGTTTTGAATGAGCTCTCCAATTGCAACGGGAGCTTAGTAAGTGCTTTAATCAAAATAGGAGGTTTACAAAGAAAGGAAAAAATCTAGGCATTTGTTAAGTACGGATTTCACTATAAAGGTCTCTTAAATCTGAGTTCTTCCTAACTCGTCAACCATTGATGCAGAAACTTATCAAGAACGCTCAAGTGATGAAAGTGACATTATACACTGGTTATCCTAAATTAAGGAAAAATCACAAAAATATCGATAACTCCCTAAAAAATAAGCCAATCCGTGTAAAATTTGAATATATTGCCAAGTAAGAGTAGCTGAGTAAAACTGCAATATGCAAATTAGTGGAATACGTCATCTGTGAGGAGCATAAAAGTCCATGTTTGAGAGCAAGCCCACATATTTCGCTGTGACAGTGACATCAGAAATCTGAGATCGCCAATTTGTAACAGTGACCTCCAGGCATCATTTGCCTGCAGAACTGCGATGGAGAGCCATTGGGAGACTAGAGGCAGGTCAAAGTCAAACAGAAGTGGCCAGATGGCTAAATGCGAGTCCTTCTGTGGTTCATAGACTTTGGAGGCAATTTCCAACTACAGATTCGCCATCGAGGACGTTCAGCCAAGGACGGCCAACTACTACGACGAGCATCGATGACAGATATTTGACATTATATGCACGCAGGAATAGAACCGCTACCTTCTTAGATCCTCCCTTGCTGCAACCACCGGAAGGTTTGTGTCATTGTCTACTGTGCGTAGAAGGCTTCACGAAGGTGGTCTGTATGCGAGGCGACCAGCCATTTGTGTGCCGCTCAAGCCACCCCATAGGAGGGACCGTTTTCAGTGGGCACGACAACATGTCCACTGGATGCCTGATCAACGGAGAGCGGTTCTCTTTACAGAGTCCAGGTTTAGTCTAGAAAACGATAGGCGTTAATTGATATGGTGAGAACCTAGAACCCGTTATCATCCGTCAAACATCTGTGAAAGAGATACATACGAAAGGGGCAGTGTCTGTGTTTGGAGTGGCATCTCTTTGGGTGGACGCACAGACCTGCATGTCTTTCAAAGGGGAACTGTGAATGCTCAGATTTATAGAGATGACATCCTTGATGTTTATGTGCACCCATATGCCGGGGCAATAGGTGATGCTTTCCTGTTACAGGACGACAACGCAAGACCACACAGGGCTCGCATCGTAGATGATTATCTTCAACAGGAAAAGAATTATGATCATGGATTGGCCAGCTCGATCCCCGGACTTGAATCCCTATCGAGCACGTTCGGGATGCTTTAGGGAGACGTCTAGCTTCTCTCAATCCACCCCCTCAAACCCTTGTCGCGCTTGCAACTGCTTTTGCAAGAGCAATGGCTCTCGCTTCCTATGGAACTGATACACCTGCGTAATTGAAAGCATCACACATCTCTGTATGTGTTGTATTGCTTCTAGAGGCGATCATATTCCATATTGAAGGTACTTTTCCTATAGCAAACTGGCACTTTTGATTTGTTCATTTTATACATGTGCTAATTTCTATACTACCCTTAATTTATGATAACCAGTGTATATGATTAAGGCTTTGGTTTCCTTTTCTCCTGATTCATCATTTGATTAAGCATGTGTGAATTCACTTTTACATGTATTTATCTTATTCATTTTTAGAACTGATGAGACATGTATTTTTTATTACTTTGCCAGTCTATTTCAAATTGCCTGGCTGTATAATTTAAAACAGTATCCAGACCACATTTATGTATTTATATCTCTAATTCGAGGTAAAGTTTATGTTTAAAAACTGAGTTCAATTTACGCATTGGAAATCGACTACAAGGGGTGGGAGAGATACTTTTAGCATGCAACCTCTCCAAAAAATGGAGAAAGAGACAGAAATAAATTACATAATAGTGACAGCAGTCTATTTGTCTTAATTCTTCAACGCACACGAAGCACACTTCATGAAGAGCCAAAGGTTTATCTTGATCTCTCAGTTTTATGTGGAAGTAAGCAAATTGAACTCCCCCAATTAGAAATGTTTCTTTGTTGCTTTTTAACTATATAAGTCCCACAAATTTAGCATAAGCAATCCAGAGGATTAATACATCCCGTTAAAGCCATTTATTTCTTTTGCAAAATTAAAAATTGCTGTTCACAAAACAAGTTTGTAAAGCACAGTGGTTGAATCCACATTGACAGCATAACAGGTGGCCTTGCTTAGTATGAACCAGATTTGATGTACCGTCTGTTCAACTAAAGAAAGGCTGAGTCTTGCATTGGTGACTTTATTACGTTAACTTATGAGGATAGGTTTAATAAATTTAATATTATATAGATTTTAAATACAAAAAAACAGTTTGTGTGTATGTCTGAAAAGATTTAAAAGTGTAAACTGAATGTGATTTTTGGGTAAACAATCACAGATTGGATGGATTTTTTTCCCCATTATTCCGTAATCAGCACAAAAAGTACAATAGGGATTACTGAGAAAATTTCAAGCAGTTTTTTTCATCTCAGACCTATGTTATAAAATACTTATTTAAGCCTTAAGGTACCGTTGTACTTCTGTTGCTGGATGAAATTTGGCCCTTCTTCAGTGCAGTGAATGTAGAATTTGGGGCATATATTCCCAGGTACCCTTTTAAATGCCATGCATTTCTAGGATTTTTATTATCCTCCTTTTTATTAGTTTTTAATCTACAGTTTTTATATTTTGACATCTCTTCAAAATTGTGTGGTTCAGAAATAGTCTCCATTACCATCTTCCACTGCAAAATCTTGTAACTTTGATCTTCAAGTTTTCATTGTTTGAAATGCAATGTGCCAGCTTCATGTCCCACGACCTCCACATTCACAACTTTGTTTTTATTTATGATATGGATCTTAATTAATTGCAGATACTTGGGTTCAGGAATTTTTCATTCAGGACCTCTGGTCGCATAATTCTCTGATATAAGTGGTCCAAAATTTCTGAATAATGACAAACTACTACTACTCATTAATGCTATCTCTAGAAAGACCTCTGTTGTTTATTCAGTGGCTATAATAATAAAAAAAAACCAAATGTTTCAAAAAGGAGTTAGGCATGGTAATTTCAAAAGAAAAATCTTTTCCCCCTTTTTCTTTGGAGTTGAAAATAGCCATACATAATTTTGAAAACATTACTTGAGTACTTCCTAAAATTCTCTCGCATACCCCTTAAGGTGTATATATCACAGTTTGGGAACACCACCATTGTCAGCTCCTCCTTAGGTTTTGATATAAATAAAAGATTATCTGGAGCTGTGTGTCAGCTTAGAATTAAGACAACCTGTTCCATTCTGATGTGCTGCAAAATTACAAATAAATTATTTGTCTTTTACGTGTGAGTAGTTTTATAGTGTGTAATATTTGCTTAATACTTCCAGCATTCTTTTTGTTCTTGAACTATTTTTAGCTCTTATTATTCCCTTTTTGTACTGAAGCATAATACCACTTGTCCTCCTCATTAGGCAGGTTATTTAAGGGGAACTTGATGAACCTGTATCTTACGACAAAATGGAATTAGTAGCAAATATAAAACTGACATTTAAAAAAAAAAATCTTATGTTAAAAAATAATAAAGGTTCCAAAGCTGAACACAATTATTTTTCTAAAATCAACTTTTCAGCTGATAAATTAGATTTTAGCAAAGCTTTCTATAATCAGCTAAACTTGCAATTTTGAGTGTGATTTTATATCTTATCTTTAATCTGTCAAACAGCATTTATACCTTTTTCTGTTTTGCTTAGTTAACTGATACATTCACTGCCAAAGCCGTTTAAGTGCATCTGTTTGCAAGTGCCAAGATGCGATATTTGTTGTAATACTTTTAAATTATTTTCTATTTTATTATTTAAATATAGATGTAATAGATTATTGTAGTAGTAACTAAATTCATGCAATTATACTCGTAGTTTGCATATGACATAACTTTTTTTATCCTTGGGCAGCTGCTTGATAACTCGGAACTAGATAAACAATACTGCCCCATCTGCACATTCACCCAAAACTCCTCACACGTGTTATATTCATTATTTTCCATTAGTCCAAATGGAAAATAATGCTTTATAATGGATTTCGCATACTTTACCTCCTTCATTATCAAATTTATGCCAAATCAATACTGTTTATAAATGAGTTTCTGAACAAGCCTTTGAGCTGTCTACTTATGGCATTTCCTAAATGAATAAAATTATTTTTTGCTCTAAATATTTGGTTGTAGTTTTGAGAAATAGTTTTCAGTGTGCAAAATGCTTTGGTTACTTCAGTTTTGATGTAACCAAAGGTAAAGGCATGAAGCGACAGAAAACAAGCCAAGGAGTAGGTGAAATAAAAGTACCCTCCTGCACACCAAACACCTAAATATTGCATGATAATGAGTTATCTTGTAGCTAAATACATCCAGTTTTCCAATTACAAACGTTCTCGTAGGTGGCAGCAAACGTGTTAAAGTTGCTTAATGCCCTATATCGTCAACCGAGCATTAAAAACAAAAACCTGTGTTTGGAAAAACAGTAGGGTTATTTATTAAAACAGCACTCTTTGGCATATCTTTCATAGAGAGAATGCCATTATGAAGAATATTCTGAAGAAAATTACCTTAAGTTTTCACAACACATAGGAAAAATCTTGAGAAAAATTCATGTATCTAGCCCACTGTGTTGTCAGGAGCCAAATATTCAGTGTCCTGTCTATTCAGCTAATTGTGAGATAAATAAAAAAAGAAAACCACTAGTTGAGATTTGAATATTGTGAAATATTAATATATATATACTAATCAAGTAATTTTAATTACAGATTACATCAAGGAGTTCCAATCCCAAAGAGGTCAAAAACTGTCGCATTCTCAAACAAAAGCATTTGTTAAATTGTATTTCAAAATGTTTCATGAAAATTATACTATAATGTTACGCAACCCGGCTGATCGTTCTGGAAAATCTGAAATAAGTTTTGAAGTAACCAAAGATAAAGGTGTAAAGCGTCAGAAAACAAGCCAAGAAACAGGTGAAACAAAAAGCTTACTGGACAGAAACAATAATTCTGACAAGCCTTTTCAAGGACAAAGTACATGTACTGTATCTTCATATCTGCAGAGCCAAAACTCTGAATGTTCTGAGTTAGCAGCTGAAGGAATAGCTGCATATTCCAGGTATCATATGATTTTGTTTTATTTAAAAACGATAAAAATATTATAAATTAACTTGAAAAATTGACATCAAAACCACATGATAATAATTGATATAATCCAAAAATGTAAAATTTTTTGTTAACTTTTCATTTCACATACTTTTGATGACCAATAGCTATTCTTATAATAATTATAGTAATAATTATTATAATTCTTATAGTAATTCTTTTTATTTTCATAATAAGGTAGAGCATTATAAATTAAAATCTTTTCAGATTATTTTCTATGTTTAAGATGATAATTGTTTACAATACCTGCATAGTACTTTCATTAAGAAATCATGTCCATGGTATTTAGGGTTTTTGTTAATTAAATATATGATGTAAATATTTTCCATAATTATATGAATGTTTGAATTTATAATGTTAATTTTCATTACTTTAATTCTGTTAAAGTTTATTTAATTTTTCACTTCATTCTTGTTTTTAATATTTTTGAATATGATATTTTTTATTATTTGCAGCATTAGTTTCTTGACCATAAATTTGTTATTTTTTTTATAATAAAAATTTGAGTAATGTATCTTTATTAATCACTTTTGCTTTAAAAGTTAGAAATTTGAGCTTATAATGAAATTCACTTATTTTACCTCCTTCATTATCAAATTTATGCCAAATCAATGCTGTTTATAAATGCATAATAAGTCAGATACTTAGGAAGAAATTTTTTCTTTTAAAGAAGTATATTCTTTCTACACTGTGAAGAAACTTGAAGAAATGACTAATGATACACTCGGTAAGGAAGTTGAAGGGGATAAATTTATTAATAACTATTTAACTATTTGAAAATGATTATTTTATCATTTCTGTGTTTTCAGTTATTTGGTCTGCTAATGATAGATATGTTTGCTGCATCCTAGACTACTAAATAAATTGATATTTTTATATGTTTTTGGAAACAGAAGCTTCATGACAAATTTTGTTAAGTGTTTAATTTTTCTTTTGTTCATAGTTTAGAAGTATAAAAAGGGAAGTGCTTACAAATTAACGTACTGGACAAAATTTAAAGGTAGCATCAATAAGCAGTCCTCCACATCAACACCTCTTTAATCACAAGAGGATGTTAATTTGGCCATTCAAAATTTTACAAATAGCATCCAAAATGCATTGCACGCATTTTTCTCGTTCAATTTACGAATGCATGCTGCCTGGGGCTAAAATGCTTCATAGGAATAAGTTCTTTGAATATCAGCATTGGTTCATAATCCCTTCTATTCACGGAAATATTTGGCCTAACTTGAATTGCCGGTTTGGCTTAGCCTTATTGCTCGAGTAAAGACCCTGTTTATTCTGTAGGCCACAGGAGTTCACTCAGTATGATGGTGCTGTTGCTTCAACATCCAAGAATGTATATGAGTGAGTTCTAATTTCTTGTTTATCTCACATAATATCTGCTTTCTTTATCTAATTAGGGTTTTACTAAATGGATATATTTATTTTGCAGGCCTAAGGACTTTATACAACATGATGGGGCCATTCCATCAACATCTAAAACCATGTATGTGTGATATTATTTATCCCTGTTTATTTGAAATCTTTTCTGCTTATAAAGGTTATTTACTAACTGCATGTGTTGTTTTACAGGCCTGAAGATTTTAATCAATTTGATGGAGCCACTCCTTCCACTTCAGGAGGAATAACATATGTTGAATGCCCTATATGCACAGGTCAGAAAAATTACTGAATTCATAGCTTTCAGAGGATGTTTTTGTATTTTGATAAGACAGTAGTTGCTAAACATTTCAATTTGTAGCTCTCTTAGTGTATCCATGGCTCCAATAATAGAATATAGGCATGTCATTCACTGTGCATAGTTGATGTAGTTAGGTTGGTTGAATTTTAAAAAAATATATAAAACATGTTTCAGATTTAGAATTGGTTAATGGCAAATGTGCTAAATAAGAATGAATGTTAAGTGATCATGTCGCTGAATAAATAAACCACCTTTTTGTAGGATGAATAAGCTTTTTTTTTTTTTTTTAATTTATTGCACATTTTTTAAATATTGCAGTTAAACTGTACGTAACATCCTTATTTCTTATTCCATATTTATTTCTCTCAGTACGTTTTATCACAGCAGCTGCCAAAAGACCAGCTGTGTCATTATTCAGCTTTTAATGAAATCCAGACATCATTTCTGTTGAATCTGATCCTTAAATGTACAACTCAATAAAGCATTAAATCTCTGCAAACATGGAGACATAATTAAGTGCTATACAAGAACTGTTCTTCTACCAATGTATTTACAACATACCTCTTTCAATGTTTTTTTATCCCTGAAGAATTTCTTATGATTCTTACATATGAAGATCTCATTATAGACACTTGGAAAAACAATTTATGCCATCTGAAGGTTTATCTGTAGATAACTAACTTAAAGGAGGGACAGTTTCTTCAGTGAGAAGCTGATATTATGCCTAGGAGAGTAGGTGTATCTCAAAATTGATGAAAATTGTCTTCACTGAGCATTAAGTACAGCTGTGTGTTATCTGGCATACATCAGCCATTGAGCACAAAATAAGAATCGGTTTCCCCCTTTTCATTTTTGTTGTAACTAATAAGGAGTGTGTTTTAACCTTGAACTCTTAGTTTTTCACAAGAAATATATATGAATCTACTTAAGAAATGCATAATACTAAAAGAATTAAGTGCTAATTTCTATGAAAATTCCCAAGTTGTTAAATATGGGATTTTTGATCATCAGTGCTGAACTTTCTAACAACTTTGGTAGCCAAAAGTTAACTTTCTAATGAAATTTTAAATTTCAGGATATTTCCAAAGCAGCTATACATTACCAGATATAGTTAGATTTATAAAATTTTAATATCCTGTTAACACTGACATAGCAGTAAATTTTTTTACATTATTTGTGGCTAAATGAGAAAGAGCATTTGTAGATATTTTCTATATTTCTTTATTTCCAGTAATTTTGATGCTTTATCAAAAACTCTTCCTCTGTGTTTCTGCAAGTTGCAGTTTTCACTTAAATGAGCTTTAAACAGATTATGGGGAAACAAACAATGCATTCTATGCTTTTAGGGAAAACGTTGAGTTAACAGCTAAATGCCTATAAATGAAATAAAATAAATAAAACACTTTTAGTTACCAAAGGCAAAGTTTTTTGGATGGATTTCTCAGCTTTATGAATACTTTTTATTCAACGGTCTTGAATCGAGGAAATATTCACACCAAGTTTTGATGGGCAAAACATTGCACTCTGTCCTTTGAATCAGTATTTAATCAGATTGTAGTTTTTATCGAATTCCTTATGCTTTATTTATGTAACATTTTATATATTTCCTTTTCATTAAATGCAGACTGCTGTCACTCTTCTGTAATTTATTTCTCTTTCTCCATTTTTTGGAGAGGTTGCATGCTAAAAGTATCTCTCCCACCCCTTGTAGTCGATTTCTAAAGTGTAAAATTAAGGAGGCATTGAATTCAGCTTTTAACCATAAACTTTGCCTCTATTTTGAGATATAAATACATAAATGTGGTCTGGATACTGTTTCAAATTATACAGCCAGGCAATTTGAAATAGACTGGCAAAGTAATAAAAAATACATGTCTCATCAGTTCTAAAAATGAATAAGATAAATACATGTAAAAGTGAATTCACACATGTTTAATCAAATGATGAACCAGGAGAAAAGGAAACCAAAGCCTTAATCATATATACTGATTCAGAAGTCAAACAACAAAAATCAGCGTTATACCTACAAAATTATGGCGTGTTATTGTGTCTTAATCATATATACTGGTTATCATAAGTTAAGGAAAAATCACGATTACTGAAAAAGCTACATGTAGAATTTAATGAAACTTACCCACAATGTACAACACATAGAAACGTATCGAATAACATAAAAAAGAAATTACCAGACAAATATGGTGGTATAGAAATTAGCGCATGTATAAAATGAACAAATTGAAGGTGTCAGTTTGCTATAGGAAAAGTACCTTCAATATGGAATATGATCGCCTCTAGAAGCAATACAACACATACAGTGACGTGTGATGCTTTCAATTATGCGGTCTATCAGTTCCATAGGAAGCGAGAGCCATTGCTCTTGCAAAGCAGTTGCAAGCGCGACAAGGGTTTGAGGGGGTGGATTGAGAGCAGCTAGACGTCTTCCTAAAGCATCCCAAACCTGCTCGATAGGATTCAAGTCTGGGGATCGAGCTGGCCACTCCATGCGCATAATTGTTTCCTGTTGAAGATAATCGTCTACGATCCGAGCCCTGTGTGGTCTTGCCTTGTTGTCCTGTAACAGGAAAGCATCACCAATTGCCCCGGCATATGGGTGCACATAAACATCAAGGATGTCATCTCTGTAAATCTGAGCATTCATGGGTTCCCCTTGGAAATGATATGGAGGTTCTGTGCGTCCATCCAAAGAGATGCCACTCCATACACAGAACACTGCCCCTTCCGTATGCATCTCTTTCACTGTTTGAACACTTTTCACTGTTTTTTTTTTTTTCAGATGTTTGACGGATGATAATGGTGTTTTAGGTTCTCTCCATATAAAAGTAACAACTAGTATTCGTTTTCTAAGACTAAACCTAAGACCTGGACTCATCCATAAAGAGAACCACCCTCCGTTGATCAGGCGTCCAGTGGACATGTCCTGCCCACTGAAAACGGTCCCTCCTATGGTGTGGTGTGAGCGGCACACAAATGGCTGGTCGCCTCACATGCAGACCATCTTTGTGAAGCCTTCTACGCACATTTGATGTTGACACGAACCTTCTGGTGGCTGCAGCAAGGGAGGATCTAAGAAGAGTCAAAGTAGTGGTTCTATTCCTGCATGCACATAATGTCAAATGTCGTTCATCGGCGCTCTTCGTAGCAGTTGGCCATCCTTGGCTGAACCTGCTAGATGTCGAATCTGTGGTTTGAAATTGCCTCCAATGTCTATAAACCACAGAAGGACTCGCATTTAGCCATCTGGACACTTCTGTTTGACTTTGTTTTGCCTCTAGTCTCCCAATGGCTCTCCATCGCAGTTCTGCAGGCAAATGATGCCTGGAGGTCACTGTTACGAATTGGCTATCTCAGATTTCTGATGTTACTGTCACAGTGAAATATGTGGGCTTGCTCTCAAACATGGACTTTAAGGCTCCTCGCAGATGACGTATTCCACTAATTTGCATTATAGCGCCACTAATTTGCATATCGCAGTTTTACTCATAAGTAAACAAATATTCATCTTTTTTTGTAAATTTTGATACCCTTTGGATAATAATTGCTCTTTATTTCATAAATTATGGTTTCATATTTTAAATTTTATAATTTCTGCATGCCATCTTACCAGATTTAAATTGATCTATAATCCGTAAAAACCGATAATCCGGAATCGCTGAAGTCCTGACGAGTCCGGATTAAAGACTTTTGACTATATTATAAAGTTAAAGTAATATTGGCCATGGTGGCAATTCCACATATCAATAAAGAGTGCTAGGGGATTTTTCAATTTTATCACTAAAACAAAGATTAGATTCAGTCTAAAGTAAAGTAAAGTTAGATTCAGTCTTAGTAAATATAGCCTGGGAAAGCTTTTATTAGCCAAAGCAGGCTTTTGTGGCAATTGCTGTGAACAGAATTATGATGCTTCTTTCCTAAACAAAACAAGATCTGCTTCTAACATTTTCTTAACATTTAAACCTAAACAAAATATTCCTTTCTATAAAATGGTACACTTTTTTTAACATATAAGTGCATGTGAATTATGCAAAGATTTGTGAAATTCGCAGGGGTGAATATATTTTGGATATAGCTGGAATTCTGAATTTTTTACTTTCTTAAATCCATAATTTTCAAATTTTTGAAATGAACATGCCTCATCATTCTCATATTTTGTTTAGATAAAATATATCCTTCAGAGAATACATAAAATGAAAACTGTTGGATAATGTAAACACGCATACCTTTTGACACTTGTGCAGGAACATCCAAAACTGATGTTGTATACTTGTGGACTGAGAAAAGATGGAAAACAGAAATACCCAGTATATAAAAAAATGATTTAAATGTTTCAACTTGCTTCCATTGGCCTTTTATTGAAAGTTCTTAATTATATGGTTGATATTATGATGCAATGTAAAAACATCCTTCAGCATTTATAACCTGGCTGCAGAGTATAAAATAGGTATTTATTCTCATTACAAAAAAATACATGTGGAGCTTTTGGGGCAGGAAATCCCTCTTAAGACCTAATTGGTAAGGATTGTAGGGATAACTAATTAAATAACTGGACAACTTGCAAAATTCTTTAGATTCCATGATCCATTCTGTTCTTTGTAGCAGTTTCTCATTTTCAACGCTTGCTGATATGTCTATTTCAAGTTCTAATCCGGAGCCTTGCTGGTCATACTAAACTGTAAATTGTTAGCCAAAAAAAAAAAAAAAATACAAATTCAACATTTTATTCTAAAACCATATGGATTAAGTATCATTTCTATGAAAGCACTTGTATATTTTGTAGCATGCAATTTGGCAATCACTTGCTTAAGATGTTACTTTTAATTCTGCATTTACGTGACATAACCAGTTCACTTGACTATGTTTTCAGTTTCCTTGGTAGTAATTTAGCTTCCAGTCTGTCTGTAATATAAAAAGGCCGGTAAAGAATAACATTTGCCTTTATTCCTGCAAAGCACTGTA